GCCCGATGCGGGACTCGATCCCGGGACTCCAGGATCATGACCTGAGCCGAAGGCAGTCGCTTAACCAACTGAGCCACCCAGGCGCCCAATTTCTGCTCTTTCTTCTGTATTTCCTTTTACTTTGTGTTTAATTTGCTTCCACTTTTAGTCTTTCAATGGAAATTGGAATGATGGATTTTCAACCTTCTTTTCTAACGTTAGGTAGTTTAATGTGGGAGATTTCTCTCTATACATTGCTTTAGTTGTATCCCACAAGTTTGGATATGTTGCATCTTCATTATTATTCAGTCGAAAAATGTTTTTCGATGTCTATTTTATTTCTTCTTTTCTCTTTGGTTATTTAATGGTGTTTTCCCTTAATTTCTTGGAAGTTGAGGCTTCTTCCCCCATTACCTGTTAGTGGTATCTAGATTAATCCCACTAGTCAAAGAGTATTATATATTATTTCAACCCATTTTCCTTTAAAATTTTTTACTTGGATTAATTAGAGGTATGGCATTTAATTTCCAAATATTTGGGGATTTCCTATCTTATTTTATTGATCTGTACTTTCATTAAATGTAATAGAGAATATTCTCAGTCCTTTGAATTTACTGAGCCTTGCTTTAAGGGCCAGCGTATAACCTAACTTGGTGAACAACCATGTGCACTTGAAGGGAATGTGCACTCTGAAGTTGTGTGTTCCATGTGCATACTATATTCTATATATGCCAATCAATTCAAGGTGGTAGTGCTGTTCAGCTTTCTAGATCTTTAATATTTTTTTGTGTACATGTTCTAGCATCTGCTGAGAATGGGTTATTAAATTTTTTTAAAAGACTCATCCATTTATTTTAGAAAGAGAGCACGTGAGAGCGCAAGCATGGGGTGGGGGGCAGAGGGAGAGAATCCTCAAGCAGATTTCCCGCTGAACACGGAGCCTGATGCAGGGCTCAGTCTCATGACCCATGAGATCATGACCTGAGCCAAAACCAAGAGTCAGATGCTCAATCAACTGAGCCAGCCAGGTGCCCCTGGAGTGTTAAAATTTCTAATTATAAAATTGTGGATTGTTCTTTTTAAAACTTTAGTTCTGTCAGTTTTTACCTTATGATTTTGGAAGCCCTGATGTGAGGCACATAATATATTAATAACTTAAAATTATAAATCTTACTTATAATATTAACATGTCATATTTGTAACCCAGTTACACATTATAAGAATTCCTAACCTTGATGAATTGACCATTTTAACATTACAAAATGTCTTTCTGTATCTATGATGATACCCTTTTTTTTTTTGATACCCTTCTTGAATTGTTTGATCTGATATGAATATGTCCACTCCAGCTTTCTTATGATTAGTGTTTTCACTGTCTCTCTTTTTTTTTTAATGTTTTATTTATTTATTCATGAGAGTCAGAGAGAGAGAGAGAGAGAGAGGCAGAGGCAGAGGGAGAAGCAGGCTCCCCGCCTAGCAGGGAGCCCAACGCGGGACTCGATCCCAGGACCCTGGGATCATGACCTGAGCCGAAGGCAGACGCTTAACCATCTGAGCCACCCAGGCACCCTTCACTGTGTCTCTTTATCTTTTGTTCTTTTTTTTTTATCTTTTGAACTTTCAACCTATGTTTCTATATTTAACATGTGCCTCTTTTACATATAGTTGGGTCATGTTTCTTTTTTTTTAATATTTTATTTATTTATTTGACAGAGAGAGACATAGTGAGAGCAGGAACACAAGCAGGGGGAGTGGGAGAAGGGAGATGCAGGCTTCCTGCTGAGCAGGGAGCCCGATGCGGGACTCGATCCCAGGACCCTGGGATCATGACCTCAGCCGAAGGCAGACGCTTAATGACAGCCACCCAGGCGCCCCGTGGGTCATGCTTCTTTATTCAGTCTTGTAATCTTTGAGTTTTATTTGGCGTGTTTCTTTTACATTTAATGTAATTACTGGTATGGTTGAACTTAGGTCTACCATTTTGCTACCTATTTAGGATTTGTCCCATCCATGCCTCTCTTTCTCCTTTCCTGCCTTCTTTTGGATTAAACATTTTTTAACATGTAATTTAGTTCCTCTACTTGCATTATCATTTAATGGATATTCTATATGGATTACATTATCATCTGTAATTTCTCATAATCTCCTTAGCGTTATTATTCTTTTTCATATTAAATGTAGAAACTTTTTTTTTAAAGATTTTATTTATTTGAGAGAGAGAATGAGATAGAGAGAGGGAGCATGAGACGGGGGAGAGTCAGAAGGAGAAGCAGACTCCCCGCCGAGCAGGAAGCCTGATGCGGGGCTCGATCCCGGGACTCCAGGATCATGACCTGAGCTGAAGGCAGTCGCCCAACAAACTGAGCCACCCAGGCGCCCCTAAATGTAGAAACATTTTTTATCTACCCTTCCTCCCACCTATATCCCTTGAAGTTCAGTATTAATTTGTGCACACAACTGAATTTTATTATAATTTCAGGAAATTCTAAGATACCAACAATACAGTTGGAGTCAAAAGTTTAACTATATGGGGGTGCCTGGGTGGCTCAGGCGGTTGAGCATCTGTCTTTGGCTCAGGTCATGATCCCAGGGTGGGATCAAACCCCGAGTAGGGCTCCCTGCTCAGCTAGGAGTCTGCTTTCCCGCTCCCTCTGCTCCTCCCCCTGCTAGTGCTAGCTCCCTCTCACTCTCTCTCAAATAAATAAAATCTTAAAAAAAAATTTTTAACTCTTTCAAGTTCCCTTCTAGTCACTCGGTCTCTCCTGATTTCTGGTCTGTAGGTCCTCCTCTTGTTTCTCACAGTAAATATTTGCCACCATTGGGCCATGGGTAGCAAGCACAATATATGATCCTCATAGGCAGAAGTGATTGAGAAAGCTGTAACCAGGCTTAAAGGAGCACATTTAGCAAGGGTGAGGGCCAGAGCAGAAGTTAGTACCAGGCAGCTCAATTCACACAAAGTCAGAGAAAACAAAAAACGTCCAAACAAAAGGATCCAAAGTCAGGTTAAAAAAAAAAAATGACATATAATTAGCAACAGAAAGAAAAGGCAGAGACAAGACACAAAGAGCTCTTGAGAGCCGATGTAAATTGTTATTATCCTTTCAGCTGCCTGTACTTCTCCTACCTTATTGAGTTGATCCTTGTGCAGAAAGAGCCTAAATCAGTAGTTCTTAATCTTGGCTGCATATCGGAACTACCTGAGGAGTTTTTAAATTCTTGATGCCCAGGCTACACCCTAGTCCAAATTTAATCTGAATTCTCTGGGGCTGGGAGCTAGGTTTTTTTTTTTTTTAAAGCTCCTCAGATGATTTCAGTGTACATCCAGGGTTCACAAGCACTAGTGTAAATGTTTGCAAGTGTGCAAGTGAACACATGGAGTGTAGGGACAGAGAAAAAGGAGGATTTCCTGGGCTTAGTTTTTTTTTTTTTCTCTAGAGAAACTTTCTGGTGATTTTCCTCTTTGGGATCCTGATCCTCCCCACTTGGCTTCAGATTAAAACTACTATTTAGACAGCCATCAGCCTCAAGTACTGTTCAGTCTGCTCCTCTGATTAGTTTTTCTGTGATAGCAGATGCTTAGCTTCTGAGTCTGTTTTTCTGACTAAACCAGACTTTCTCCTTCTGTTTTCTCTAGGATTTTTCCTCATTACTTCAGCTTTTTGAGGTTTGTGACTGTACCTCTTGTCCTCTTCCCATACTTAATAACCTTTCAAGGGAGAGAGCTATTTTTTGCATGACACAGCCTCATGTTTTTGTAGTATACCCTGTAATACTTAGAACAGGTCTACACTATCAGGAGAGAATACATTTTTTTCCTTTTTTTTTTTTTTAAGTAAACTCTGTGCCCAACATGGGGCTTGAACTCACAACCCCAGATCAAGAGTTGCATGCTCTACCAATTGAGCCACCTGGGTGCCCCGAGACTACATAATTATTTCATGAATTTACTGCATTCTATCCATCATGAATTTCTTTGTGTTGATGAAAGGCTGAACGCACACTAAACGTTTTCTCACATTTCTTACACTTGTAGTGTTTTTCTCCCATATGGGTTTTCTGGTGTTGAATAAGAGATGAACTCTGGCTGAAGGCTTTGTCACAATCATTGCATTTATACGGTTTCTCTCCAGTATGAGTTCTCAGATGCTTTGTAAGAGATGAGCTCTGGCTGAAGGCTTTCTTGCATTCTTTACATTTGTAAGGTTTCTCTCCAGTATGAATTCTCTGATGTCTTACAAGAGCTGAGCGGTCACTGAAGGCTTTCCCACATTCGTTACATTTGTAAGGTTTCTCCCCAGTATGAGTTCCTTGATGTTGTATAAGAGCTGAACAGTAACTGAAAGCTTTCCCACATTCACTGCATTCATATGGCTTTTCCCCTGTATGAGTTCTCTGATGTTGGGTCAGGCCGGACCTGTCACTAAAGGCTTTCCCACACTCTGTACATCCATAGGGTTTTTCTCCAGTATGAACCCTTTGATGTTTAATAAGGGATGAGGTGTCATTGAAAGCTTTCCCACATTCCTTGCATTTATAGGGTTTCTCTCCAGTATGGATTCTGTGATGTTGAATAAGGTACGTGCTTTGGTTGAAGGCCTTCCCACATTCACTGCACTCATAGGGCTTTTCTCCAGTATGAATGATGTGATGTTGGATGAGGGCTGACCGATGACTGAAAGCCTTCCCACATTCATTACACTCATAGGGTTTCTCTCCACTGTGAATCCTCTGATGCTGAATAAGTGATGAGCTCCGACTGAAGGCCTTTCCACACTTGTTACATACATAAGGCTTCTCTCCAGTATGAATTCTCTGATGTAAGATAAAGGCTGAGTAGTAACTGAAGGATTTCCCACATTCATTGCACTTCCAAGGCTTTTTCACTGAGTAAATGTTGTGATGTCGAATTGGGTTTGAACTCTCCCCAGTTTCACTACAATCCTCCACAGGGTTTTTCTTGCGTTTAATTATGACTTGCCTTAAATCCTTCTTCTGATTTCCTTGCTGCCTTTCTAATGTGCCTTCACATTGCCAGGCTTCTATCAATCTGGAGTCCCAGGACTCATCCTTTTTAAGTCTCTCCATTATCAGCTCTCTTTCAGGAGACACTTCTTCATAAAGTCCCTGCTTTGAAAAGGATTCTTTAGTTTCAGGTATAGATTCGGAATCTGAAATAAATAAAAAGTACAAGCGTTTGTGTTCTCTGTGTTGAGAGAAAAAAACAGCTGAGTTGGCAAGAAGAAAAGAAAATAAAAATGATGCTTCTTAAACATGTTTTTAGAATGTTTTCAGAAAGCGCTTCCTGGCAATGGCAGAGGAAGTTTCAGGGACTAACAGAGATGGGAGAATGGCTAATACAAGGCACAATAAGAGGACGAAGAGGAGGCTCTACCTAAGAGAATGGAAAACTGAGCAGACAAGTCAGGAAGGAGGATAAGCTAGCAGGATGAGAATAAATGTTAATATAAAATATCTGAGGAAGGGTAGAAAGATGAAAACACAAGTTGAGATTGGGCAGTTTTGAGAAAGTACAAGACAAAAAAAATCACTTCTAATAATCACCTGGGAATAATCACTTTTTGACTTTTTAAATAGTTCCCTCTGGTCCCCCCCCCCTTTTTTTTGAGAGAGAGCAGGGGCAGGGGGTGGATGGGGCAGAGGGAGAGGGAGAATCTTAAGCAGGCTCCATGCATGGAGCCTAATGAGGGGGCTCAGTCTCACGACCCTGAGATCATGACCTGAGCTGAAATCAAGAGTCGGATGCTTAACCAACTGAACCACCCAGGTGCCCCGCTCCAGTCCCTTTTTAAAAGCACAGATTTTTTTCATGTTCACCATACACTTTATTTATTTTTTTTTTAAAGATTTTATTTATTTATTTGACAGAGAGAGAGACAGCGAGAGAGGGAACACAAGCAGGGGGAGCGGGAGAGGGAGAAGCAGGCTTCCTGTGGAGCAGGGAGCCTGATGTGGGGCTCGATCCCAGAACCCTGGGATCATGCCCTAAGCCGAAGGCAGATGCTTAACTGACTGAGCTACCCAGGTGCCCCCACTTTATTTTTTTTTTAACAGACACTTTAAATATGATTTTGTTTCCACTAACCACTGCCCCCTCTTTTCCTTCCTTCTCTCCTTCTTCCCTTCCTTCTTCTCTTCCATTCTTCCTCCTCCCCTTCCTCCCTTCCTTCTCTTTCTCCCTCCTTCCTTTCTTCCTTATTTTTTGGTCATACCCAAATTTCTCAAAAAGGTCTTGTACATTTTCTCATCACATCCTTGCTCCTGTACTCGCTGTAGTCTGGCTTTTCTCCCTACTACTCAGTTGCAACTGCTCTCACTGAAGTTACTAACCATTTATATGTCACCCAAATCCAGTGGATTCTTTTCATTCTTTAACTTGGCCTCTCAACAGCACTTGACAGTGGTGACCATGCCTCCCCCCCAACCACATCCCCCCCTCATTTTTTCCCCCAACTTTATTCGGATATAATTCTGTGATTGTAAGCTGTCCAAGTTTTACTCCTGATCTCTATTTACTTGGGACTTTTTCTGTTTCTTCTTCTTAAATGTTGATGCTTCTTGGTATTCAGTCTAAGCTCTCCTTTTTTGCCCCTCCCCATCCCCCACAACATTGTCTCCATTAAAGACCTCATCCAGGCCATGGTATTAATTGCTTTTTTAGAAAAATTAAAATATATTTCACATGTAACACTGTGTAGATTTAAGGTACACAACACGGTATTTTGATGTATTCATATAATATGATTACTGACGTAGGGATAGCATCGCAATTATATCACATAATTTCACCTGATTATCCTCTTTCTCCTGACAGTTTATCTTTGTTCTGTAAAAGAACTGGTGATACGGGCAACTGGGTGGCTCAATCAGTTAGGCGTCTGCCTTCAGCTCAGGTTGTGATCCCAAAGTCCTGGGATCGATTCCCACGTCGGACTCTGTGCTCAGCAGAGAGTCTGCTTTTCCCTCTCCCTCTGCCCCTCCCCCTGCTCATTCTCTCTCTCAAATAAATAAATTAATTTAAAAAAATAGACCCAAGGGCGCCTGGGTGGCTCAGTTGGTTAAGCGACTGCCTTCGGCTCAGGTCATGATCCTGGAGTCCCTGGATCAAGTCCCGCATCAGGCTCCCTGCTCGGCAGGGAGTCTGCTTCTCCCTCTGACCCTCCCCCCTCTCATGTGCTCTTTCTCTCATTCTCGCTTTCTCAAATAAATAAATAAATAAAATAATAAAATCTTAAAAAAATAGACCCAATTATATACTGTCCACAAGAAATTTTAAATAGATTTTTAAAAATGGAAAAAAATATACTATGCAAACAGGAAGCGAGAATGGCTATATTACTATCCTACAAAATAAAATTCGAAACAAGAAATATTACCAAGGTTAAAGAGGGACATTATAAAATGATAAAGGGGTCAGTTCACCAAAAGATAATTTGTTATGTGTATGCATCTAACAAAAGAGTTTCAGGTACATTAAGCAAAATACAATAAGCAAAAACTGATAAAACTAAAAGGAAGAAATAGACAATACCACAATTATAATTGGAAAATTCAACACTCCTCTGTCAGTAATCAGTAGAAGCCAGTAGACAGGAAATCAGTAAGGATATAGAAGACCTAAATACTCTCAACCAACCTGACCTAATTAAATTTATTTTCAAGTTCACATGGAACATTCATCAAGACTGTATTACGGGTAATACAACAAATCTCAGAAATTTAAAAGAACTGAAATCATACAAAGTATCTCTGACCACACAGAACCAAACCACAAAATTGAGAACAACTTTTATTGAAAACCATCTAAAATTTGGAAATCTGGGGCGCCTGGGTGGCTCAGTTGGTTAAGCGACTGCCTTCGGCTCAGGCCATGATCCCGGAGTCCCCGGATCGAGTCCCGCATCGGGCTCCCTGCTCGGCGGGGAGTCTGCTTCGTCCTCTGACCCTATCCCCTCTCATGTGTTCTCTCTCTCTCATTCTCTCTCTGTCAAATAAATAAATAAAATCTTTAAAAACAAAAATAAAAATAAATAAAATAAAATTTGGAAATCTGTAAATAACCCATGAGTCAAGGAGGAAGTCACAAGTGAAAATAGAAGTTATTTTGGGCGCCTGTGTGGCTCAGTTGGTTAAGTGACTGCCTTCGGCTCAGGTCATGATCCTGGAGTCCCAGGATCGAGTCCCACATTGGGCTCCCTGCTCAGCAGGGAGTCTGCTTCTTCCTCTGACCCTCCTCCCTCTCATGCTCTCTGTCTCTCATTCTCTCTGTCTCAAATAAATAAATAAAATCTTAAAAAAAAAAAAAAAGAAAAAGAAAATAGAAGTTATTTTGAACCACGGAAATGAAAACACCACATATTAAAATTGTGGAATGCAGCCAAAGCAGTCCTTAGAAGAAATTTTATAGCATTAAATGTTCATACTAAGAGAGAAGAAAGATCGTATACCAGTGATTAGTCTTCTACCTTCAGAAACTAAAGGAAGGAGAGAAAATTAGACCTAAAGTTAGCAAAGGGGAAAAATAATAAAAATAAGAGCATCAATGAATAAAAATGAAAACAGAAAACAGTAGAAGGAATCAATGAAATCAAAAGCCAGTTCTTTGAAAAGATCAATAAAACTATTAAAATTCTTAAGAAGACCAATAAAATTAAAACAGAGAAGATACAGATTACCAATATCAGGAATGAAAGATGATAAATCATTACCAGAGCGCACTCAAGAAGAAACAGATCATCTGAATGGTCCTACATCTAGCAAGAGACCAGGATTCAAGGTTAAAAACCTTCCAATAAAGCAAACCCAAGACCCAGATGGCTTTACTGGATTGAGCTTTTGATATCATATCTAATAAAATTTTGCCTTACAAAAGGTCGCAAAGACTGTCTTTAATGGTCCCTCTAGGTTTTATACTTAGTTCTGTGATCCATTGAAAGTAACTGTGTATGGTGGGAGGTATGGATTTTCTTTTGGCGTATGGATGTCCAATTGTTCCATTACCATTTATTGAAAAGATTCTCCTTTTTAGCATTGAACTGATCTTTGCATCTTTGTCAGAAATTAATTGACCATATATGTGTGGGTCTATTTCTGGACCATCTGTTCTGTTCCATTGATTTACATCTTCCTTTCACTAGTACCACACTGTTTTGATTACTATAGCTTTAGAAATCTTAAAACCAATGTATGAAGCTGTCCTTTTTCAATACCAGAGACAGTGAACTTTTACTTGCCAAAAGAGAAAAGAAGCCAATTCTGAGTCCAGAGTGATCAGGGATCTCCTAGGGGATTAACGCTCTGTGGATCTGAAGCAAAACTATGCCATTTTAGATGCCATTAGTTATAGAGGAAACTTATGTCCCAGTAAGCAGTTTGCATTACAAAATAACTTCCTTACCCCAAAATACCAGGCTCCCACAATTCTCCACTTTCATATCCATGCCCATGTACCTTTGGGCAGAACTCAGCTGTTCTTCTTCCACATGAGCGAAATCCATTTCCTCATCCTTGACTGTCACCAATTCCTGGAAGAAAAAGCACATTCTTACAGGACTTAGGGACGAGAACAATCTAGAAGAGGAAGTATTTTTTAATCTGAAGGTTAAACCTTTATTTTAATGGAACAGTCTAAAATTTCTAAGTATTAGTCCATGTTAAGGAAAATAATAATAGCTAACATTTATAATATATTTTCTATGTGCTAAGTCCTTTGAACTACCTCTTGCAATGATAACTATATGAAGTAAGTACTATTATTAACATTATTTACAGACATGAGGATCAGATCTGAGATTTGGACCCAGGCAGTCTGACTCCAAAGCTATACTCTTTTTCTTTTAATTGAAGGATAGTTGACATAAAATATATCAGTTTCAGGTGTACAACATAGTGATCTGACATCAAAGCTATACTCTTAACTATATTTTTCTGTCTCTTACATAGTTTACTAAGTAAATCTAATATAAATTAACCACTGAATGACAACTAAATGTTAATTACTAATTATACTTAGTTGTAGGTGGGGTAAGTCTCAGACATGTAATTTATACTGATTCCTGGAATATTTGGAGAGTTTATAGAAATTCTGCTTGATATCCTGATTGTATATAGACAGCCATCCTGTTCTTTTTTTTTTAAAGATTTTATTTATTTATTTGTGAGAGAGAATGAGAGACAGAGAGCACGAGAGGGAGGAGGGTCAGAGGGAGAAGCAGACTCCCCGCTGAGCAGGGAGCCCGATGCGGGACTTGATCCCGGGACTCCAGGTTCATGACCTGAGCCGAAGGCAGTCGCTTAACCGACTGAGCCACCCAGGCGCCCCAGCCATCCTGTTCTAACAGAAGCTTCTTCTTTCTCTGTACTTAGGGCTATGACTTTTAGATTTATTTAGCTATCCTTTAATAACTACGGTTGTTCTGAACGAATGGATTTACTGATTATAAACTGAAAATAATCAACTGTTCTTCATATTCTATGTTATATTGACATTCATGTGGGTGTAATTAACTGGAGAATACTTTGTGAGAAAGTCAGTCAATAGAATACAGTGGTTAAGGGGCATCTGGGTGGCACAGTCAGTTAAGCATCTGACTCTTGGTTTCAGCTCAAGTCGTGATCTCAGGGTCTTGAGATCAAGCCCCACGTTGGGTTCCGCACTTGGCATGAAGTCTGCTTGAGATTCTCTCTCTCCCTCTCCCCCTACCCCTCCCCCCACTCACTCTCTCTCTCTCTCTCTCTAAAATAAATAAATAAATTTTTAAAAAAAGACTACAGTGGTTAAGAGGCATGGGATTTAGGATCAGACATACCTGGGTTCTGATTAGGGTTCAACCAAGTTATGATTCTGAGCAAGTTACTGTGAGCCTCAGTTTTTGGTTTGGGGTTTTTTTTTATGATTTTATTTTTAAATAATCTCTGCACCCAATGTGGAACTTGAACTTAACAACCCTGAGATCAAGAGTCACATGCTCCACTGCCTGAGCCAGCCAGGTGCCCCTGTGAGCCTCAGTTTTGCTGTGAAATAGGCATCATCCCTAACATGATTTTTTGTTTAAAATAAATAATGTCTGAAAAGTGGCTCTAAATGATAGAGTTCCCCTGAACTCAGTCATTAGACCTCTTCTCCATCCATTCTTACATACCTATAAGCAATTTGTTATTTCACCCATATTAAAAAAAAAAAATCCTCAAAAAAACCCCACAAAAGCAACCCAAAAAACAAACCTTCTTTTGTCTTCCTTCTCACTATCACCCTATTTCTGTCCTCTCCTTTAACATAAAACTCTCCAAAATAGTTGTCCGTAGTCCCTGCCTCCAATTTGTTTCCTATTCTTTTCCTGAATCCTTTCTAATCAAGTTTTCATTCCTACCGTTCCATGCAATTGCTCTTGTCAGTCACCAATGATCTTCATATTTTTAAATCCAATGGTTAATTCTCAGCCCTCATCTTACTTGACTTAGCAGCAGCGTTTTGCACAGATGATCACTCCCTGCTCCTTGAAACACTTTCTCCAGTTGGTTACCAGGATGCCACACTTTTGACTTTCCCTTACCTCACTGGCCACACATCTTCTCAGTCTTCTTTGCTGGTTCCTCTTCATCTCCCTGACCATTAAGAGTTGAAGAGCTATAGGATTCAGTAATAAAATTTCATCTCTTTTCTGTTCCCTTAGTGATCACAGTTTCGTGGCTTAAAATACCATTCACACAGATTACTCCCAAATTCAAGGCTTGAGCCTGAGCTTTCCCCAGACTTTCAAGTCTTCAAGGAAAAATTACTTTGGTTCAGTTCTCTAGTTGGGGTTGCTGTAGACCTCTGAAGCAAGATGAAAAAAGGAAACAACACACCGTGAACGCCAAGCTAAGATTTCAGAGGAGGGAACTTAACCTCAAACTTGCCTGGAACTCAACAGGAAGGAGCTCAACAGTAGGTTCCATTTCTTCTGTGTTCTGTTTTTGGGGCAGAGAAGCATCCTCACTAGTAATGGCTGGAAGGACTGGGGAGGAAAAAAGCCATGAAGGAGGTACACTCTATTCACTGAGACGAAAACTATCACAAGCCAGCTAAATTATATACTCAAGGCCTACTCAACTTAACTCAAAAAGGTGGGATGAGGATAGAGTAAGATGATAAAGTGAAAGTGCATTGCCCAAAAATCTAAACTTGTAGACCCACAATTCATCAACCTTTTGGAATAGTCTAACAGGGAGTGGAAAAGCGTGACCTTTTATCAGAAAAGCAAGCAAAATGGAATATTCTCTCTTCCACGGCTATTTCTATAATTCTTACCTTCTTCCTCAGCTTCAATGGTCAGATAATCCATGATCAGCTTCTCTTTCTTTGTCCTGTTATTGCTATGACTTCCTTCTTCTTTACAGTTTCAGATGAGATAAATATGAACTTTTCAGCAATACATAATCTGCTTCTTTGTGTAAATCATTCAACTCTACTCTGAAGCTCTGGAGAGAGATTTTTGAGGTTAGGCTCACCATCCTCTGGAATTGGTTCCTGCTCCCTGGGGCATCTCGCTCTATCTCTACTCCTAGGAGACTTATTCTTCTGCATTTAAGTCCTAGGGCCTCAGAAGTAATTCTTCTTTGCTTGAAACCTTTATTATTTAGGCTAAATTAATCTCCACAGCTGGAAGACCATTCTCTAGAGTACTGAGATCAGTCACTACATGCCACACCAGGACAAAACCAGGAGAGAATCAGGGCAGGGAACTGGGAGCCTCACACTTGGTTCCAGACTGTGCAAAACTCCCATAAGACCCTAAAGCATACAACTGGCCATATGATTATGTGGCCTGTGATTATGGCAGCAGTAACTATAAACAAGGCTTCCACCCTTGGTTCATCCTTACTATTCATAAAGACAGGCAGTTGACAGATGGGGCCCTTATACAGTTGATTCCCCACCTGCTCTTTTTTAAAGACCCTGAAAATGTACAGACAGGGATTCCCTTGCAGGGTCAGAGTGAGAACAAAAGACTTCAGTAATTAGACAGTAATAACTGACAGACAAAATGGCTTCCCACCTGTCAAGGGAGAAAAACTAAACTTTTCATCAGGCTGAATGACCATGAGGAACAAAACCAGTCAATACAGCCTAAGGTGACAAGCTGGCACAAAATTCAACAAAATTTGCAAGAAAAAAAAAAAAAAGATGCCTGCAGCACATCCTGTTGAATGGCTGCCACATCCTGAAACTGCCACCAGAAATTAACTTATTAACTGTATCCTGCTTGTCACTAGGCACCTGAAACCTGTGGTTTGTGCCTATTTAACCCGGAGCCTAATCCTTCCCCTTAGGAGTGTACTCTTGGTTTGTAGCCGAAGGCTGCATTTCCCAGGTTTGCAAACTGCATGGCAACAAAGCTTTTCCCTGCCTCTGACCCAATCCTGGCATTCCAGGCTGTGTGTGTGAGAGAGAAAAGATTCAACCCCTTGCATTGGCTGCAAAATACAGGCAGGCCCCCAAACTCTGATAGAGCAAATCACAGAAGAGTAATGAGTGAGACACGGACACCATTTTTTTCTTTGTGTCCCCCAAGTTCAGAACCTTAAGGCTCTTGGTAGCGTGGCAAGACTTAAGGCCCAAACCGACGGGAGGCGCTCAAGCTCTCCGGCCTCCGCACTGCCGCTCCCAAGACTCCCCCTGTCGCCCACGCCTCCTTCAAGCTCCCGGACTCCACTTCCCAGAGGGCTTAGCGGCAACCGCGCATCCGGGACGCCTCCTCGCTCAGCGCTAAACCTACAAACCCGGCTCGCCTCCCACTCAGGGAAGCGGAGGAGTACGCAGAGCGCGGGGGACTGGGCCCGGGACGCGCGGGCAGGGCCCAGCCCTTCCCCCCAGCCTCGGGGCCGCAACCTGAGAGCCTGGCTCGGGCACTGGAGCCGCGCGCTTGGACCGGCGGGTCGGAGAGACCTGCGCCTCGGGCCCAGCTTTCTCTTACCCCTAGACGCGCTGCGGTCTCGGCTCCGGCCACAGGGCGGGTCCCCGCAGGGCTGCGCTCTGGGAAAGACGGGACGGGCGGACGGAGTCGCTTTCCGGACTCCCTGAGCTGCGGGGAAACAAAAGGCTCGAGCCCGAGGCTCCGTCTGGAGTCGCATCTGCGCACTTGGAGGCGACCGCGCCAGGTCGGGGGTCCCGGCGGAAGGACTCCACTTCCCAGAGGGCTCGGGGACATCGGTGCCCGTCCTGGGCGGGGGGAGGGGGCGTCTGCAGAGCCAGGGGAGAGAACTGCAGGCCTTCGGTACCAGCCTTAAGATGGAGATAATACCTCATCTGATAGGTCTCCTTTCTGAGTAAGATGAGAAGCTGTCCTGTAAAAGCTGGGTGACTCAGTTGGTTATGGATCTGCCTTCGGCTCAGGTCCTAATCCCAGCGTCCTGGGTTAGAGCCCCACATCAGGCTCCCGCCGCAGCAGGGGAGTCTGCTTCTCCCTCTCCCTCGGCGCCTCCCTCCCCGCTCGTGCTCGGTCGCTGTCTCATTTCTCTCTCTCAAATAAGTAAAATCTTAAAATAATAATAATAAAAATAACAAAAAATTTAAAGCTCCAGATATTTGCAGTGTCTGATTATTGATTGGTGGTGGTTGGGGGTCTGTTACACAAAGTCTTTTCCTTAGCCTTTCTCATTCTTACAATAAAGCCGCAAATCTGTAAACTGAGTGCTAGTGATTTTGTTGAAAGCATTCTGGCTGATAAAAACCATAGGCACGGTTGCGAAGCCATTGTCCTGAACCACGAGATATAAAGAAAAAACATGATACAGGAATGAGTTCACAAGGAAAAGTTAGATGTGAGAAAGAGGCAAGTACGAATATTGGCTTTGAAGTGGAAAATTGTGCGGACCTGGAGTTTATGAACATTGGTACTAGAAGGGCCGCTCTCCTTGAGCCAAAGAGCGACCGGATGAAAGATACTCCTTTCCTCTGCAGAAACACTCCAGTTCTTCACTTCAGAAACCAGAAGAAATCAATTGTCATTCCAGTCCAGATGACCATAGTCACCTGAATAGTCTTTCCACATCTAATCTTGCCTTTCTTAATCCATGCTATTCAAGACAGCCAAGATGAACGTTGAAAAATTAAATCTGTTTATGTCCCTCTCCTCAGAACCCTTCAGTGACTGCCCTCTGCCCTGGAATAAGACATAAACTCCTTAGCACGGTTTATAAAACCCTGCATAGGGGCACCTGGGTGGCTCGGTTGAGCATCTGGATCTCAGCCCAGGTCTTGATCTCAAGGTCCTGAGTTCAAGCTCAGCATTGGGCTCCAGCCTGGGCATGGAGCCTACTTGAAAAAAAAAAAATTTTTTTTAATTAAAGAAATAAAAGAATAAAATAAAATATACATACTAGCTAAACTGCAAAATTCTAATAAGGATGACGAAATTAACACATCTTTCTGTTGTGTGCTGTGTAGATACCCACAATACTACTACTACTCATAAAGACTTACAAAGATAGTCAATAGACTATGACTGAAGGCACTTCTCAGCTTGAATCTGAAAATCACAGGCAGGGGACACACAATTTACCAGCTGCTCAGAAACCAGGCATGGTTTTTGCTGTATTATGAAAAGCAGACTTTGCTGTTTCCTGTGATTCTAACTTTTTGGAATCAGGGGGTTTTTTTGCATTTTCATATCTCTGGTTTCCAGAAGTGCCTTCCAATTGTTGTTGGCCAGGTGCCTCTAGTGTGTAGTCATCATACCTGTGGCAGGACACAGGCCAGAATGGGTATCAACAGAAGAAAATCCAAGAGACAATAGTGGAGCATATTTAAGAGTTGCCATAATTTCTATTCATGTTTTCTGTTATTACTAAAATGGTAACTTTATTTTTTTAAAAGATTTTATTTATTTATTAGAGAGAGATAGCGAGAGAAGGAACACAAGCAGGGGGAGTGGGAGAGGGAGCCCCATGTGGGGCTCAATCCCAGGACCCTGAGATCATGACCTCAGACGCTCAACGACTGAGCCACCCAGGCACCCCTAAAATGGTAACTTTAAATTTCTCAGTAGTTGAGGTCTTAATTTTTCTGTATATAAGTTGACATATTATTATTACAAATTTCATTGATTTGTAATCATAAAATAGACCTATACATTTTCCTTCTTTTCACTTATTTGCATTATTAGAACAAGC